TAAAACTGATGCCGATGTGGTTTAATTAATAATTTGTTGTTCATAAACAATTTGTGTTAAAATTTTTTGTGCAATTATGATACAGGTGATACAGTAACCACTAACCAGAAACTGAGCGAAGCCAGCAGGTAATCTAAAATGCACTGAGTATTAACTTCTGATCAGAGCAAGTTACCTGCTTAGAAAAACAACAACAATAATTAACCTGGTAATGAGTATAGCTAATTACATATACTTTTCTTACATTCTTACTCATAAAAACTAGAAGGCGTTGTTCCCTCAGTTGGATAATTTCGCTGTTAACGATATTTTCGACTATAAACCCAAGGTTCGGCCAGCTTAGAAGATGTATGTTAGTCCTAAATTCATACATTAAGCTAACAATGAAAAACAATCTCTATAATGAAAGTATGACAATATAATAAACATTTTAACAAATACTGTTCATGAAAGTAAAGAAATGACAGAGTACACCTTATTTATGGAACACAAAAACACTAACTGTTAGCTTCAAGTACTGAATGACTATCAGGTACCTTGTGTGTTCATACGACAAAGATAAGACATCCATACATTGCACACAATATTTTCATTGGTTTTTATACCTTACTTTTAAATGAACTCATGACTCATTTTCAGAATTCAGGTAATTGATGTCACTGATGATGTCATTTTCTGGCATTATGCAAAGTAATTATTCATGCCGATATATTTCATAACTCAAGTTATTATCACTAGTGCTGATCGCCATGTTCTATATAGTTAATTACACATTAGTGGCTAGTGTTCGAATTTTGTTTATCCAGATTTTTAATGAATGAAATACTCAATATATCTAAAATTTAATTTTTATACACACACTTTGATTCAAGAACTAACAGTATTGTTGCAAAGAGGGTCGTTAACCTGCATTTGAAGCTGTTAGTTATAAAATACCACTTGTGTGCACTGAAATGATAAATAATATTGTTATTTGAAAAGTTTCCATTATGTATTCCCAATCCCTGTGCTTCCATGTTCCAGAAAAGCTTGCCACATGCTATGCATATGGGTTTTTTTCTACTATACTTGCCTTCCACTATCTAATATCCAGCTACGGGCCTGCACGGACAACATTGTAGTATGTAACTTGTATTATTGTGACAACTTTACTATGTTCCTCTTGCAATGCAATATAGTTGTTTGTTTGGTCTAAAAATTTAAAGATTATTTAGAATGTTTGTCTGTCTCAAGGTTTTCTCTGTGCTGTTCAAGTTTTTAGGTGAGTAATGCTGTACTTTGTATATGACCAGTTTTGGACAAATCCTATAGCGTAACGTGAAGGGTTTTATGGTTCATTTGTTGAACCAATATTCACAAATTAATCAAATGACTGGTATTGGAGTAACTACGAGCTGTGCAAGGAGTGACTTCTCTCACCCATGAGATTCATCCAAATCTAAAACTTTGTTGGGGGTGAGTTTTTGTTAGCTCTGTTTGAAACGAGGAGCAACAACTTCCAAAATAAAAAAAACCTTGAGAATTATGTTTGATTCTGATTTTTTGGAAGATAAAAATTTCAGCATTATTTGATATCAAGTTTTGGTTTGTTTGTTTGTTTTAGTGAACAAACTACTAAGTGTGTTACCTGCACCTTGTTCAACACAGGAAATTGAATCTTGGATTTTAGTGTGGTAAGTTCATAAACTTACTGCTAATCCATTGAGTGATGGGAGAGAAGTGATATGGTTGACTACGTCAGTCAAATATCATTTCACAATGCAACCGACGCAGGATCAAAATTATAATTTGTGGTTTTAGATTTAAAAAAAAATGCAAAACAGCTTCCAGACTTCAGATCAGATCTGGCAGAAATTAAGCACTGACTGTATGGATTCAAATGTTATCAAATTTAATTCATAATATTTTATTCATGAACTAATAAATCATACAGGTTGTCAATGGATTTAATTATTAATAAAATTGTAATCATAAATTGTTATTGTTATAAAATTTTGAATACATCTCCAAATCATATGCAATTTTCATATATATATATATATATATATTTAAATTGCATTCACATCAGAAATTTTAGGAAAACACCACAGATGGCAAATGAGTCTTTTGTTAGGGTAGACTATTCTGTCACAATAGGAAAGAATCAGTTTGTGCCCCTAAATTAATATACTCTCCTCGGTGACTCCCATACACCCTCCATCTCTCTCTCTCTCTCTCTCATATAAGTGCCTTCCCTGGATAACACTAGAAAACTGATTGATAAATGTATTGTAGAATACAATACGTTAACAACTCTAAAACACAAGCATATTTGTAATGTCCCTTAACTAAACAAGCACAGTGTTGAGACTTATTAATATTTTTATATAGTCTTACTTATGTGAATGACATTTCTCTGGACCTAGACTTTACTGTAGAAAGAAAATAGGACCTTGACAAAAAATGACAAATCCTACAACAATTTTTTATCAAATACTATATTTTAGCCTTTTACTGCTTTTAATATTTAAATAACCTATAGTTTTCAATGAAAATATTACAATTTGATACTGCAATGTGAAAATTATATCAGGCTGATAATCCAAGATGACTGTTGTTAGCATTCTAAATATGGCTAAATTGATAAAGTGGTTTGTGACACTGGCTAGCAAGATGAGATGAAGACAAAGTAAGTCACACTAATAATTAAAAAAAGACTGTTCTTGTAATACATATGACAAACTTTATTTAGGCTAAAAGTCTTAAAGATTCAAAATAAAAAAAAAAATCTCAATTTTCATTCTTTGCTTTTCTATTGGTAGTTGTTTTGTAATTATCTATAAGAGTTGTTGAGACAGGTATATCAATTTTTGAAACAAGTTTATTTTATCAATTGTTAACAAGATTAGTAAAAAAAATTACAACTTAGCAATTTCATTAAATATCTGTGATGATGATAAAGGCAACAGAGATGTGAGAAAGAAAAAACTTAATGCATTAGCTCACTACACCTAAGTCATAGATTACCAAACTTTCAAGCCTAAAGCATTGAAACTCTTGGAGCGTAGATGTTCGTCTTGGACATCCTCCCCTCTTGGTGTGTAGATGTTCATCTTGGACATCCTCCCTTCTTGGTGTGTAGATGTTCATCTTGGACATCCTTCCCTCTTGGTGTGTAGATGTTCGTCTTGGACATCCTCCCTCTTGGTGTGTAGATGTTCGTCTTGGACATCCTTCCCTCTTGGTGTGTAGATGTTCGTCTTGGACATCCTCCCCTCTTGGTGTGTAGATGTTCATCTTGGACATCCTCCCACATCTCTTCTCAACAGGTCTTCCATCACTGATACAGTTATTCAACAGAAACATAGACTAAATGAAAATAGTCAGTAGATCATCTAACTGATATCTGTTATTGAAGATTAGTCTGCCACTTCATATTACTGTTCTTGAAACTATTATCAAAACAAGTTGTGGAAGTTTTTTTTTAGTTGGAATTGTCTTAAGAATTCTTCGATTACTGGATTTTTGTCTGAAAAGACAAAAACCAATTCTGAGAACTCAAAAAGCTTTAATTTATTAAATACAAATTAATTCAGTAACGAGAATGCTGAAGTAATTTCTTTTCATGAAAGCCTGTAACAATCAAAACCATGTTTCAACATAATACAAATGGTACAATATCAAAAGTTGAAAAGAAACAACAAAACAAATTATTCAACGGACACACAAAAAATTGAAAAAAAACGTTTATTTATAATTTGTTAATAACACTTTGGATAACCAAAGATGCACCATAGAATACAAAATGGGTTACTCTTATTGACATGTGGATAACCAAAGGTGCTTTACAGAATACAAAATGGGTTACTCTTATTGACATGTGGATAACCAAAGGTGCTTTACAGAATACAGGATGGGTTACTCTTAACAACATGTGGATAACCAAGGGTGCACTACAGAATAAAGGATGAGTTACTCTTAATGATATATTGGATAACCAAGGATGCCCTACATAATACAGGATGGGTTACTCTTAATGACATGCTGGATAATCAAAGGTGCAATACAGAACAAGTTACTCTTAATGACATGTGGATAACCAAGGGTGCCCTACAGAATACATGATGGGTTACTCTTAATGACATATTGGATAACCAAGGGTGCCCTAAATAATACAGGATGGGTTACTCTTAACAACATGTGGATAACCATGGATTTGTTTGTTTGTAGTTAAGCACAAAGCTACACAATGGGTTATCTGTGCTGTGTGCACCATGGGTATCGAAACCTGGTTTCTAGCAATATTTATA